CAGCAAGGAAGTGATCATGCAGGAACAAGGCAGAAGCACCATGTCCCAGACACCAACGGACAACCAGCTGTGGGGAGAGAAGGAAGACCCAAGGGATTGTCCGAAAAAAAGTAGAACTCAAAGTTCAGCAAGGTGGTGAATTAAAGTACTGCAATTGTTGGGGACAGCTGGTGGTGAATTAAAGTACTGCAATTGTTGGGGACCAGCAGGTGGTGTGGTGGTTAAGGCGCTGGACACTCCCACATGGCCGACCAGGGTTCAAGTCCTGAATCGGGTGGCTTGCTTTCTCACTTCCTCTCTCTCTCACTCTCACCCTCTGTCTCTCTCTGGTCAAACTAAAATATGAATGAATAAATAAAATAAAATAAATATTTTTTTTAAAAAAGTACTGCAATTGTTTATAATCACTGACTTTCCTCCACCTAGAAAATTTTATGGACAAAAGATGTCATTTACAATGGCAAAAAAAATTAATAAAAATATTCAGGAATAAACACTTAACATGTGCGGTACTTTTGAAAACATAATAGAAGAAATCCTATTTGCAATAATAAAATTCATATATATATATTTATAAAATATCTAGGAATAAGCTTTGAAAATGTATGGTACTTTAATGAATTAACTGCAAAAACCAAAGGGTACAGAATCACAGCCATCCCTTTCAGGCCGTGCCACCTACACACTCTGGTTGAGCTTCAGAATGGTGAAAGCTTAAGAGCTGGGTCCTGAAGAAGGACTTTGAAGGCAATCCTAATAGTAACTTTGAGTTGAAGACAACTGAGCTCCCACCCTTCAAAAATGGGTAAGTTCTGCGTGAAGCTCTGTTCCTCACTGTGGATCCTTAGAGATTGGCAGGCAAAAGATTGAAGGAGGGCGATTCGATGATGGGACAAGTGGCCAGAGTTGTAGAAAGTAAAAATTCAGCCTGGCTAACAGCAACTGTTGGCTTGGCTTCTTCAGGCTGGACAACACATTCCATTTCTGATGGGAAAGGCCTGGAAAAGCTACCTACAGCGTGGCCGAATACGTTATCACTGTCTATGGCTCTGGGGATAGTTGGCATGACAGGCCTACCTGCCTACTTTGGCCTGCATGACATTTGTGGTGTGAAGGGTGGAGAAACGGTGCTTGTCAATGCAGCAGCAGGAACAGTGGGCTCTGTTGTAGAGCAGATAGCTAAGCTCAAGGGCTGCAAAGTTGTCGGAGTATCAGGATCTGATAAAAAGGTTGTCTACCTTGAAAATCTGCTATTTGATGTTGCCTTTAACTACAAACAATAGATTCTTTAGAGAAAACTTAAAAAAAAGAAGCATCCCCTGATGGTTATGATTGTTATTTTGATAATGTAGGTGGAGAGTTTTTGAATGTTGTTACCCCCCAAATGAAGTGGAAGGGTTCCTCATCTCCTGCTGGCAAGGAGAGGTCTGCCAAAACGCTCTGAAGAATTGGATGAAATGGGTCTTGGGAGGGTAAAATCCAGTACCAAGAATACATCATTGAAGGATCTAAAAACATGCCAACTGCACTTATAAGAATGCTGAAAGGAGATAATTTGGGGAAAACAATAGTGAAAGCATGAATAAAAAATTATACATGGAATCTGGAGATCATGTGGATGATTACCTGATTTGTTTTCACCTTTTAATAAAAACATATACTGCCTGGGGCTGACAGGTGGCGTGGCAGTTAAGGGTGTTGGACTCCCACATAGCCAATAGCAGTTCAAGTCCTGAACCTGGCAGCTTGATATCTCTCTCTCCCTGCCTCTCTCCCTCTCTGGTCAAATTTTTAAAAAATAAAATAAACAAAATAAAGTAAAATAATTCTTTTAAAAAAGTATACTGCTTAATTAAAAAACAGAGCATACATATTTGAACAAAGAAGTGACATAGCAGATGGAAAACATGACATTATGAAGATGTCACTGCTCTTCAAATTTACAAATTTAATGTAATTTCAAATCAAAGTAAATTTCAATAAATCAAGATGGTAAAAGGGATTTAAAAATATATATTTAATTTTATTTATTCATTCATTTGCTGCTTTTAAATTGCACCAGAGAGAGAGAGAGAGAAAGTGAGAAAGCAAGCCACCAGGTCCAGGACTTGAACCACAGTCAGCCATGTAGAAGTCTAGCACCTCAACCACCACGACACCTGCTGGCCTCAGTACAAATGGATTTTTAAAAGGAATTAAAATAGGGACCAGCAGTTAGTGTAATGGCTGCCGCTGGACTCGCATCTAGTCGACTACGGTTCGAGTCCCGGACCTGGTGGCTTAAACTCATGCCGGGCACATGTGAGTGCATGAAGATCATGAGAGGAGAATGGAGGAGAAGGGATCGCAGCATGGCCATCCCCCCTGGGGGGTGATTTCTCGCTCTCTGTCTCCGTCTGGCAAGTGCACGCACCCTATAGCAAAAACCTCTCAAAAAAAAAAAAGAATTAAAATAGACAGTTTTGTGCAAAAAGTTTGAAATCCATGCATAATTTTTCATAATACCCATTTTCTAGAACTATATGAAGAGCCCTCAAATTAAAAAATAAATAGGGACCAGTAGTTAGCGTGATGGCTATGTTGCTGGACTCCCACGTAATCGACCGCTGTTCGCGTCCCAGACCCGGTGGCTTAAAACTCACGCCGGGCGCGTGTGCGTGCGTGCCCAAGATCCCGAGAGGAGAACGGAGGAGAAGGGATTGCAGCATGGCCATTCCCCCTGGGGGGTGATTTCTTGCTTTGTCTCTCTGTCTGTCTCTGTCTGGCAAGTGCACACGCCCTATAGCAAAAACCTCTCAAAAAAATTTAAAAAATAAATAAAACAGGTACGTGTAAAAGAAACAAAATGGGGGGAGGGTAGTAGCTTTTCTAAGCATATCCCCAAGTAGGACTATGAAGAAAATGAACGATAAATGTGTGAGTCTAAAAAAGTGTGATTCCTAGAGCCCAAGTATCCAAGTTCAGACCTTTAAAAAGTCCTCCTCAAGAATAAAGAAGGGACTGCAGTGGGGCCATCCCCCCTGGGAAGGAGATGATTTCTTGCTTTCTGTCTCTCTCTTTCTCTCTCTGGAGAACACATGCACTATAGCAAAAATATCTCAAAAAAAAAAAAAAAAAAAAAGGTCCTCCTCAATCCTTAGACATGTGACAGGGCCACTGAAATTTTTCTTCCCTTTAGCTGGAGATATTTCTATCTCCTCTGCAAATCAGTCATCTATAAGAATTCATATTATAGCACACCCTCAGCTTTGGCCAAGAAATAGGACTGAGAGAAAACATGAGGCCATTGCTGGCACTGACAAGTCAAAAGCTAAGATTTCATACTTGCAACAGGTTTGGTGCTGGGGCTCTTCTGAACCTACAACACATTCCACCTTACTAAAAGCAGTGACCAAAAGCAGGTATACACATAGAGTAAGTGAATGTTCTCCGGCTTACTTTTACTTTGTCATTTTTTAAAAATATGGCATCTGTTTTTTGTTTTACTTTATTTTATTTATTCATTCATTTATTTTAATTTGACCAAAGAGACACAAAGAGAAAAAAGGAAAATGAGAGAGCAAGCTGCCAGGTCCAGGACTTGAACTGTGGTCAATCATGTGGGAGTGTCCAGTGCCTTAACCACCATACCACCTGCTGGTCCCTGGCATCTATTTTGTTTTTAGATTTTTGCCACAGGATATGTGTGCTCAGCAGAGAGACAGAGGGAGAGAAAGTGAGAAATCACCCCCCAGGGAAGAAGATCACACCACAATCCCTTCTCCTTTCTCCTCTTGGGATTTTGGGCACACATATATTTGGTGTGTTTTTCAAGCCACCGGTCCAGGATTCAAACCACAGATTTAGCCATTTGGGATCCAGCACCTTAACTACCATCAAACAGAAACCATCTTCTGAAACATACTTTTTTTTTTAAATAACTATTTTAACTTTTTTTTTTTTTTTTAATTTGACCAGAGAGGGACTGAGAGTGAGAGTGAGAGAGAGAAACAGTGAGAAAGTAGGCTGCTAGGTCTGGGACTCAAACCACTGTCGGCCATGTGGGAATCCAGCGCCCTTAACTACCACACCAGCTGCTGGCCCCCTGAGACATACTCTCTAATAAACATATGAACAATATTGATAAGTCAGCAAAGAGCAAATATGTAAGTATATAAACAGAAGAAATAAATGGTAGATTCAAGAGATGGCAACGGGATTTTAAAATCAGGCTGAAAGAAGTCACTCTCCCTTATCACTACATTCTTTTTGTCTAGAGAGCCCATGCACTCACCAGGAGGAGGAGGGAAGACAAAACATCCCATATGGGGAATGGTCACACCCCACTCCCTTCTTCTCCATCTCTCCCTCCTTTCAGTATTTTGGGCATGCACACACATGTCCCCAGCATATTTCTCAAGATGCAGGGTCTAGGACTTGAATGGTGCAGTTGGCTGGCCATGTGGGATCTGACTATCCTAACACAAGGCCACAGGGCTGGCCTATCACCAATTTCTATTTATTCGTGATACAGAGCATGTGCATGTGTATGCACACAAGAGAAAGCATCATCCTCTAACGGTCTGGTCATGCTGCAATCCTCCCTTCTTCCAGTCCTCCAGCCTGTAGGATCCTGAGCACTAGAACTTGTGCCCAGTGTGTTTTAGGTTGACCAAGCCAGGAATTCAAATCACGGTCACCATGAGATATCCGGTGTCTCTTAAGCAGAGCATTACTACTGTCCCATAGAGCTGGTCCTAATTTCTATTTTAAAGTTTGGATTCATTAAGCTTAGAATACTAGTAAGTACAATCTTTTTTAAAGAAAGAGCTGTATCATTCAAGGTATCTGACAATACCAACTCCCTGCAATTGTTAACAGTTACTAAATATTGTCATTTCCTGTGTGTAGTGGTGAGAATAAAGATACTTCTTAGCAAAAACAATTGAAGCCAGGAAAGTTTCTAGTTTAATCACAACAAGGGTATACCCAAAATAAAAAATAACTCAGACACAGATTACTTATTAACTCCAGAACATTTTAATTCAAAAGAGCATTAATAAATAAAAAGCCCAGAGTTTCCAAATGTCCATCGAAAAGGGAATGAATAATCAGTCCTCATCAGAACTGGGGAGAAAATTAAAGGAAAAATGGTTGATAAGAAGGCTGATAACCATTCTCTTTCATAAGGATAAAATGATGCTTCCTCAAATAACAACTCAATGTTACTTAATGATATGAATAGACAGGAAGAAAATAACTGTCTTCATTTGCCTTATGTACAGTATTAGGTAATTAAATCCAGCTTGCTGTTTAGGAATGGCTTGCTAAAACATTGAAAAAATGAAAGACTTCATCCTTGTCGTAGACTGCCACTTCAGTGGAACACTCGGTGCACATGACTGGGTGATAGACTTCTTCCACTTCTGTCTCTGCCTGCTCTGCAGCATCTTCATGGTTAGTCCTCATCTTCTTATGGCCCCACCTTTTCTTCCTGTTCTCTGAGGTTTTGTATCTCAGGACCTCCTCTTTGTTGACAGAACAATTCATCACAAACATTGCTCTATATTGAGTTTTATAGGATTCATGCCTAAGACGAAAATAAAACAGGGAATTTAGACTTATGTTCTATTGTAATAGTTAACACTGAGATCAGCAGATGGCCACAGAGTTGACCACAGTTTGAGTCCCAGTCCTGGTGTCTTAAAACTCAAGCCAAGTCCAAGTACATGCATGCCCCAAATTCCTGAGAGGAGACTGGAGAAGGGATTGCAGTGTCGGATTGCTTTACTTGGTGAACGCATGCACTCTATAGCAAAAATCTCTCTTAAAAAAAAAAAAAGTTAACATCTGGGACAAACAGTTGGCATAATGGCTATGGCGCTGGACTCCCAAATAGTCGACTGCAGTTCAAGTCTCGGACCTAGTGGCTTAAACTCACACTGGGCATGTGTGCGTGCGTGCCCAAGGTCCTAAGAGGAGAATGCAGGAGAAGGGATTGCGGCATGGTCATCACCCCCAGGGAATGATTTCTTGCTTTCTCTCTGTCTGTCTCTATCTGTCTGGTGAGCACACACGCCCCATAGCAAAAACCTCTTTAAAAAAAAAAAAAATTAACACCCAAAACATACTGAAACAACCAACCAAAGTAGATGTGAGCAACACCGCAATCCTTTCTGGTCCACTCTCTTCTCAGGATTTTCAGCAAACATGCATGTGCACCGAGCCCTTGGTCCGGAACTTGAACTGTGGCCCGCCATGCAGGAGTCCAGTGCCTTTAACAACCACACCACCTGCAGGCTCTCCAGCATGTTTTTCAAGCCCTCAGTCATATGAGATCCAGCCACCTTAACCTTCAACCCACCTGCTGCCCCTGGAATTTTTTTTAATTCATTCACTTATTTTAATTTGACCAGGGAGAGAGAGAGAGAAAAAACAAGCTGCCACATCCAGGATTTGAACCATGGTCAGTCATGTGGGAGTGTCCAGTGCCTTAACCACCATGCCACCTGATGGCCCCAGCCCTGGAATTAATATAACTTATAAGATGTCAAAATATGCTATATATTGCACTTTTCTCCTGGCTGGTCTAGTATATTCCATTGCAAGATATCAAAACTACTGAAGAAAATACACTTCTAGGGACCAGCTGATGGCGTAGCAGTTATGTAGTTGAACTCCCACACGGCTGACTATTCAAGTACTGAACTCGATAGCTTCAAAAATCACACCAGGGCTCTCTGGGCTCAGACCTAGTTGGCGGCGATATGGCTAAACGCACCAAGAAGGTTGACATCGTCAGTAAATACAGAACCTGCTATGGTGCCTCCCTCTGGAAAATGGTGAAGAAAATTGAAATCAGCCAGCATGCCAAGTGCACTTGCTCCTTCTGTGGCAAAACCAAGATGAAGAGATGGGCTGTGGGGACCTGGCACTGTGGTTCCTGCATGAAAACAGTAGCCAGTGTGCCTGGACCTACACCACCACTTCGGCTGTCACAGTGAAGTCTGCCATCAGAAGACTGAAGGAATTGAAAGACCAATTAGAAGCTCCATAGACATTTGGAATATCACTAGGCTACATAAATGGGTTAATTTATGTTATATATTAAAATTTTAAAAAACCACACCAGGTATGTATGCAGCCAAGATCCAAGGAGGAGAATGGAGAGGGGATTGCAGCATGGTCATTCCCCCCTGAAGGGTGATTTCTCACTTTCTATCTCTCTGTCTCTCCGGTGTGCACACATGCCCAATAGCCAAAAAAAAAAAAAATTCAATCAATCAATCAATCAATCCACTTCTAAATCAGTAGATACTTCCATTAGTTTTCCTGAAATTATCACTGTCATTACCAAAATCTTCCAAGATTTTGTTAAGATTTGATTCCTTAGTTTTTTTGTTTGTTTGTTAGAGGTTTCTGCCTTAAGGCATGTGTGCTCACCACTGGAGAGACAGACAGAGAACATGAGAGCGAAAGTGAGAAATCACCCCCCAGAGGAGATGGCCATGCCACAATCCCTTCTTCATTCTTCTCCTGGGATCCTGGGCACTCATGCACCTGTGCCCAGTGTGATTTTCAAACCACCAGGTCCAGAACTCAAACCAGAGTTGGCAATGTGGTATCTACTGACATAACTAACCTCTATGCCATCTGCGCCCCCTTAGAGTTTTCAAGTTAAACTTAGAGCAGAGGAAAACAATCTTTACATATTGACCTTCTATGTCCTCTTTTGGTCCTTCAATTACCAAAGAGAATTTTAAACAAATGATGTTCCACATTTCCTGGCTTAATAAAAAGCTGTAACTGCTATCATCCAAATTAAGAATTAGAACCAGTCAAAAGCTATTACTTTTTAAATGTCTGTGTGTGTCTGTTTGTAGGTCTCCTGAGAACAGCTCCAAACCTTTAATCAAGTTTTTTTGCCTTTTTATTTTTTTTAAGGTTTTTTGCCATAGAGCACATGCGCTCATCAGCAAGACAGAGATAATGAGAGGGAAAGTGAGAAATCACCACCCAGAGGGGATGGTCATACCACAACCCCTTTTCTATTCTCCCCCTCAGAATTTGGGCATGCACACAAATAGATCCTGCATGATTTTTTTTTTTTTTTTGACCCAGCATGATTTTTAAGCAGCCAAATCTGGAATTCGAATCACAGTTGCCCATGTGGGAATCCAGTGCCTTAACCACCATACCATCTGCTGGTCCCAAGTCCAGAGATTTTAATCAATTATATATGAGAATCAAATTAGGTAAAGAAAAACTTACTTTGCAAAACTAAAATCACTTCCCAATATACTTGACAGAAACAAGCCATTCATTTTCATTAGTGTTCCACTGAAGACATTACTGAAATCTGTTCAATGTTTATTTCTAAGTGGTCCAACACGAAATTCTTCAGAATGTTTTATGATTGAATGTAGCTAGAGTTCTGACTTCCATTTGGAATCTGCTCTCCTTCACTGTCTGAAGATGGTTTTGGTTTCAGCACCTTACTAATAGCTGGCATCTTTTCTTTCATTAAAAGTCTTCCACTGCTCATGTAATTTTAAAATAACACTGATTGTTTCCAAAATCTTCTCAGAAAGTTCAGCAAACCACTGTCTGTCATCTTTCTGCTGTACAATGTGGGCTACACGTAGACAAGCTAAACTCTCACGACAGGAGGACACGGTGGACAAAGATCTGCTCTGCAGGTATCATTCACAATCCTCCATGCAAGGGGAACCAATGACAAGTTGCCCACGTCTTCTTGGCCCACGTTCAGTACAAACTGGAGCAAAGGTCTATAAGGACGATACACTATTGAGCAACAACCCATTAGTACTAAAAGACAGAATTCAAGTCTTTTCTTTTTCAGTTATTTGTATTTATTCAGTTATTTTAATTTAATTAGAGAGAGGTGGGGTGGGAAGGAGTGACAAAGCAAGCAGCCAGGTCAGAACTCTAACCACAGCTGGCTATGTGGGAGTCCAGCATCTCACCACTACACTACTTGCCAGCCTGTAAAAATCACATTCTAATATACGAGTCATCCTTTAAGGAAATTCCTTTGGAAAAGCATATGAAAATCTAGTTTTATTGCAGAAGTAACAAGAGAAATCAATCTTTTTTTTTTTTTTTGAGAGGCTTTCGCTATAGGGCACGTGCGCTCGCCAGACAGAGACATAGAGACAGAAAGCGAGAAATCACCCCCCAGGGGGGATGGTCACGCCGCAATCCCTTCTCCTCCATTCTCTTCTTGGGATCTTGGGCACGCACGCACACGCGCCCGGCGTGAGTTTTAAGCCACCGGGTCTGGGACGCGAACAGCGGTCGACTATGTGGGAGTTCAGCGACATAGCCATTACGCTAACTGCTGGTTCCCAAGAGAAATCAATCTTATAGTTGAGACTACTCCAAATTCCTCTACTTTGGATGGCATCGATACAGAATCTATATTTTTCTTTTCTTTCTTTTTTTTTTTGGAGAGGTTTTTTTTTTTTTTTTTTGCTATAAGGCACGTGTGCTCGCCAGACAGACAGAGACAGAAAGCGAGAAATCACCCCCCAGGGGGGATGGCCACACCGCAATCCCTTCTCCTCCGTTCTCCTCTCGGGATCTTGGGCACGCATGCACACGTGCCCGGCATGAGTTTTAAGCCATCGAGTCCAGGACGCAAACCGCGGTTGACTATATGGGAGTCCAACGACATAGCCATTAGCTAACTGCTGGTCCCCAGAATCTATATATTTTCAGAGAATACGGGGCATAGAATTTCTTCCAACAGACCATAGCAGTGACAGTAACTTGTCTTAATTTGTTTATCTAATGCTTATATAATATTTGCACAAAAATATTTGCAATTTCCAATATGTTCGTTCTGAGAGAAACTTTAAGTCCTTTTGATGCTCCTTCAACAGATCTTATTTGAGATCTTTTTTTTATGACTTATTTTAATTTTATTTACTCATTCATTTATTTTAATTTTACCAGAGAGAGAAACACAGAGTGGGCAAGGGAGAGAGAGAGAGAGAAAGAGAGAGAGAGAGAGAGAAAGAATGAGAAAGCAAGCCACCAGGTCCGCGACTCGAACCATAGTCAGCCATGTGGGAGTGTCCAGCACCTCAACCACCATGCTACCTGCTGGTCCATTGTTTGAGATCTTTATTTATCTAAAATCCATTTCATGTAGTGGGAGTTCTGCCAAAAGTTCCCTGCCAGAGAGGCATGCACTCACTAGAGAGACTGAGAGAGAGAGAGAAAAAGAAATCAGAAGAATCCCCTAATGGGGCATGGCCACACCATAATCCTTTTTCCTCCATTTCTCCACCCAGTTTGGATTTTCAGCATGCACAAACATACATCCAGAACGTTTTTCAAGCCATCAGGTCTGGAATTCAAACTATGGTTGGCCATGTGAGAATTCAGTTCTCTTAACCACTAGGTCCCAGTCCCAGTCTCTAAACTGTTCCCTTGATTTTTGGTGTTTTTTGTTTTGCCATAGTGTGTGTGTGTGTTTACTAGAAAGTGACAAAGAGAGACGGAGGGACAGACAGTTAGAAACCACCCCCCATGGGGACGGTCAAACAGCAATCCCTTCTCCAT